CATTGGGGAACTTAAAACACAGGCATTTTTCCTCTCACGCTTCAAGATGTTGCAGGGCTGTACTCACTGAACAGAGGGTTCTCCTTCCTTGCCTCTTTGAGTTCCTGGTGGCTCCAAGGAATCCTTGGCTAATGACTATATAACTCTAATGTCTCTGCCTCCATCTTCATATGGCCTACTTCTCTCTTCTCTCTTTTATAAAGACACTTGCCATTAGATTTAAGGTCCACCCAGATAATCCAGAGATCTTCAACGTAATTATACCTCTTTCCAAATAAGGTCACATTTATAGGGTCTGGAGGTTAGGGGGCATAGATGTATCTTTCTGGAGGCCAGCATTAAGCCAACTATAAACCTCAATACAAAAAAATGGGCAAAAGGTAAAGTATTTTACAAGGAAAGAGATATTCAATTTCACTAGTAATCAAATGGAACTTACGAGAAAACAACATTTTTCTCTGATTTGACAGAAATTTCAACTCAGATAACAGTCTGCCATGTTCCTATTGATCTCTGGGATGAGCCCAGCTTTTTTTTTTTTTTCGTTTTTCTGTTTACCAGAGAGAGAGGCATCGCCATAAAAGACAACTCCTCCCCTGAGCTGTCCCCCCACTAGCAAAGCAGCTTGCACATTTTCTGAGATTGCTTAGTAAAGCTGGTGCAAACTTGGTTTCTTGTTTCACATTTTATTTGAGTGTCATGGTAGATGCACAAGCAGTTGCAACAATCCACCGAGATCCCCTGTATCTTTCACCTTGTTTTCTCCAGTGGCAACATCTACAAACATCTGATTTTACACAGAATTTTAAAATAAGTATTCATACCTGCCCTTGTTTATACAAAAGTATGGAAAACTGTTCTTGGCTTTAATGGGACTAGAAACTACAAGACCCAGTCTCTTCCATCAGGATCTGAGAATCAGCAGACAGGGGTGGGAAACCTTTTTCTGCCAAGGGCCATTTGAGTATTTGTTACATCACTAGAGGCCCAATGCATGAACTTTGTGCAAGAGTAGGCCTTCGCAGCCTTGGAGGCTGCCTCCATCCCGGGCTGCAGCCTCGGCTTCATGGGGACCGCTGTTTGGTAATTTGCATATTACACTTTTATTATTATAGACTAATATAGCTTGCTGCCCTGCCCCCTTCTGTAGCTCTCCGCCACCTGCTTATAGTTCGCTGCCCCACCCTCCTGCAGATCCGTGATCCAGTCATTACGTGGACAGTCGTTACGCCTCACGGTGTAATGGATAGTTAGCATATTCCTCTCTTATTATATAGGATTAGCTTCTGGGCCACACAAAATTATCAATTTAAAAATTAGTCTGCTATATTTGGTCAAACAGTTAACTCACCCCTAATGCCTTGGCAGGGCCAGACCAAATAATTTCGTGGGCCATCATGAGGATCCTCACATCACAGAAAGAGGTTGTGCACTCATTCCTTGTCTGGGGCCAGATCAAGACTTTCACAAAAAGGGTTTTTCAACACTGAAAAGTTGAATCGTAATTTTTCTTTTTCTTTTTTCATTGCTCACATGCTTAGAGCAGTTAGGGGTTAGAATTATCTACTTCTCTGTCATAGCTATGACATTGGAGACACCATGCCTGCTTTCTGTCTATAGGGGGCTCCCTGAAAGGGCCTTTTGGGGGAAGGGGTGAGAACCCCTCTAAAGCATGAGGTTAGAATATTTGTGACTGAGAGCAAAAGCAGAAAAGCCAATGCAGTGAGTTTATTTACCATTGATTAGAAGAAGCGATTGCAGAAGCTTTCCTAGCAGGCACTGCCCTAGGGGAAGGGAGAAGGGGGAGAGGGGTGCAGGCAGAGGAGCGGTGGGGTGCCTTAAGGCTACTCGGGCCCTGCTCTCATGCTCTCATACTGGCCAGGCTTCGGATCTCATTCCGCAGTGTTTATGGTGCTCTGTGCACAGGAAGCAGCTGCTGACAGTGTCTGACACGATCATCCGTTTATGGGCAGTACAGCCGTTGGCTTCATTTATTGTATGAAATGTTTTCATTTTGCCTCCAATTTTTAAAGTAGGAAATGTCTCTCCTTCTCCAGCATTGTTCTTCATTGTTCTCCCTTCTCTTTCTCTTGCCTCCTGGAGTTCCTGAGCACTCCATCCTCACCCTCTTCTCACTGCCTTTCCTTTTTTCCTGACTCCCCTCCTGTTCTTCGCATCTCTCCCTTCCTCTGCCCCTCAGCTCTCCGAAGAGAAAGAAGGTAGAGAACAGAAAAGTCCTTTAAGACACTGGGCAGAAAGCCTTATAATCACATTTACTTTAATCTCATTTTGTTGTCTTCCAAAACACAGGTCTGTGCTGAGCCACGCTTGTCTTGCCTGTTGCAGGGCATTTGTAGGGATTCGGCAGTAATGAAGCACAGTCCATTTATAAACAAACATCTTTTTGTCTCTATTGTTGGGTTTGTTAGTGATGTCTGAATGAGCAGTTTAAATGTATGTTTGTAATAGCCACTTACCAAATATTTTATACTTGGTACAAAAGGAAGAAATAGAAATGGCCATTATATAAATTCATGTTTGGAATGCTGCCACAGCCCAGGGCTTGGGGATTAATGACGAGGCAGCCCTAGCCAGTTTGGCTCAGTGTTGCTTTCTGACCGAGTGGTCTAAAGTTTGATTCCGGTCAAGGGCGCAAATCTTGTTGTAGGGGTGTGTGTATGCAGGAGACAACCAATCAATGTGTCTCGCACATCAGTGTTTCTCTGTCTCTTCTCCCACCCCACCCCCCACCCCCCCATCCGCCAACTCTGTCTAAAAATCAATGGGAAAAATAACCTTCAGGTGAGAATTAACAGCAACAACAACAAAAATGGAACAGAATAACGTTTTCACCTTTATGTCATCTACTAGAGGCCTGGAACATGAAATTTGTGCACTGTTGGCAGGGGGAGGGGTGTCCCTGAGCCCAACCTGCACCCTCTCCAATCTGGGACCCCTCAGGGGATGTCTGACTGCCAGTTTAGGCCCGATCCCACTAAACAGGCAGTCAGACATCCCTCTCACCATCTAGGACTGCTGGCTCCCTACTGCTTGCCTGCCTGCCTGCCTGATTGCACCTAACTGCTTCTGCCTGCTAGCCTACCCCCCTAATCACTCTCCTGCAGGCCTGGTTTCCCCCAACTGCCCTCCCCTGCCAGCCTGGTCCCCCCAACTGCCCTCCCCTGCAGGCCTGGTTGCCCCCAACTGCCCTTCCCTGCAGGCCTGGTCCCCCCAAACTACCCTCCCCTGTAGGCCTGATGCCCCCCAACTGCCCTCACCTGTCTGCCATCTTGTAGCAGGCATCTTGTGACCACATGGGGGTGGCCATCTTGTGCAAGGGTGTGATGGTCAATTTGCATATTACCTCTTTATTATATAGAACATACAAGGGTGGGCCTGATATTGGCTCACTTGGGCCACCAAAGAAGATAGCTCAGTGGACAAGTGTAAGATTGGTTACCATGAGGTCAGTTCAAATGCAGTGAGCTAAGCCCTAGCCAGTTTTGCTCAGTGGATAGAGCATCAGCGTGTGTATTGAAGGGTCCTGGGTTTGATTCCAATCAAGGGCATGCACCTTGGTTGCATGCTTCTCCTCAGTCCTGGCCCTGGTTAGGGCTCGTGCAGGAGGCAACCGATCAATGTGAAAAACACATTGATATTTCTCTCTGTCTTTTCCTCTCTCTTCCACTCTCTCTAAAAATCATGGGAAAATATCCTCAGGTGAGGATTAAAAAAATAAATAAAAAAAAAATAAATAAACTACATTGTTAAAAAATATATATATAATGAACCAAGACCTAGGGGGCTGTCAGTGAGAAAGAAAACCAAGTGATGGGCAGGGCAGACCACTGACCCTGGTCTCCCAGACAGCAGTTCACTGGAGTGGCAGCTGGACAAGATGCGAGGGAGGTATGTGTGTGGGAGTGGAGGCGGAGTGTCCAGAGATGAAGGAAGTAGAGACAGAGTACTTACAGGGTGGGGATGTGAAGGGACATTGCATGTGGCTTACCTGCCCCCCGCTGTCTTGAGGTTGTTTCTGAAAGGGCAGGCCTCCCACTAAACAAGCAAATGTTCTGACTCATTGATTACCAAAGATGTCTGCAAAATCATCTTATGAACTCTTCCAGTTTCCTAAGGACGTGGCTGCTATACTAGGGGAAAATACTCATTGTCTGTTTAGAGTGCCCTGTGAATCTCTGATATGTTTATAGGAAGGAAATACAATGAAAGTAGAGGGAAAATACATTTTACAAATATATATACAACTTAATAGCACGGTATATAGGGCTGCTTGCCTGCTTTTGTGTATGTGTGTGTTGTGGGGGGGGGTGGTTAATGTGAGGAATTAAGGTCAGATAAGATTGTTCTCATATTCTGGTTTTGCCTTTGTAGTGTGTGTAAATGTGTATGAGCAATATTATTTTTCTCAATAAGGATATATCTTTGTATCATTTTCAATATGTGTCATATATAATTTTTTTAAATGTTTTATATTGATTTTGAGGGAGAGGAAAAGGGAGAGAAATAGAGAGATAGAGACATCAATAAGAGAGAATATCATCAATCAGCTGCCTCCTGCATCCCCCCCCCCCTCTGGAAATCAAGCCAACAATCTGGGCATGTGCCCTGACTGCAAATCAAACTAGTGACCTCTTGGTTCCTGGGTCAATGCTCAATGGCTGAGCCATACTGGCTGGGCCACACTGGCTGGATGCTGGATATATATTTAAATGTGACAGGTGTCCTATTTGCATCCTATGCAAAGTTAACCTGGGGTCAGAGTTCCATAAAACAAAACAATGACAACAGTAAAGACCCTACATACTCCAGGTGCAGAGAACCAGGATCCACTGTGCATGTGTACATTGATATCAAAGAAATGAAAGGCAAAGAATGTGTTTTTAGCCTGAGGGGACAGTGAAAAGACAGCAAGAAATAGGGGGTGAAAAAGATGTTGAAAGGAATAATGAATATCCCCTGTGGTTTTTCTTTTTTTGCAGTTCTGTTTTGAACCCAAAGTGGATGATGCTGTTGGGGCTGAGCCACTGACCAAAGATCTATAAAAAATTCCCACCTTCATATTGGCTATCAGTTGAGATACCATGGAAGACTCTTACAGGGATAGGACTTCACTGGTGAAGGGTGCCAAGGACATTGCCAAAGAGGTGAAGAAAAAAACAGTAAAGAAGGTGAATCAAGCAGTGGACCGGGCCCAGGATGAATACACCCAGAGGTCCTACAATCGGTTCCAGGACGAAGAAGAGGACGATGACTATTACCCGCCCGGAGAAACCTACGGTGGGGAGGCCAATGATGATGAAGGCTCCAGTGAAGCTACTGAGGGTCACGATGAAGATGATGAGATTTACGAAGGGGAGTATCAGGGCATCCCCAGTACGAACCAAGGGAAAGACAGCATCGTGTCAATGGGGCAGCCCAAGGGTGATGAGTACAAGGACCGCCAGGAGCTGGAGAAGGAGAGGAAAGCAGACGAGGAAGAACTAGCTCAGCAGTATGAGCTGATAATCCAAGAGTGTGGTCATGGCCGTTTTCAGTGGACCCTTTTCTTTGTCCTGGGCATGGCCCTCATGGCGGACGGTGTGGAGGTGTTTGTTGTTGGCTTTGTGTTGCCCAGCGCCGAGACGGACTTGTGCATACCAAATTCCGGATCCGGGTGGCTAGGTGAGTGCATCAGGTCAGAGGGACAAATTTTGAAAGAGGTTTATTTGCTGATCATAGTTAACAAATAGAATAAATACAATTTGTCTAGAGCACTGTATTTTTCCCCAACCTTTATTATAAAATATTTTAAACATACAAAGAAATCCAAAGAATTGTTAATGATTTAGATTCTATCATTAACATTACTGTATTTTCTTTTTTCAATATATTTTTATTGATTTCCAAGAGGAAGGGAGAGGGAGAGAAAGATAGGAACATCAATGAAGAGAATCACCAATCAGCTGCCTCCTGTACGCCCACCACTGGGGATGGAGCCTGCAACCAGGGCATGTGCCCTTGACCAGAATCGAATCTGGAACCCTTCAGTCCACAGGCCGACGCTCTATCCACTGAGCCAAACCAGCTAGGTTTTTCCTTTATCACCTATCTGTCCATCATCAACCCAACTTATATTTTCATGCATTTTAAAGTAAGTTATACTATTTTAACTTATATTATTATAAATGTAACATTGGTTTATCCTTTATCGACTTCCAAAGGTAAGCTGTCATATGAAACTTCTTTGTCATTTTCCTAAGTACAGAGGTTAATTCTACAAAATTCTGACAAATGTGATTTCAAATTTTCAGTTTTATGTATGTATAATACTTTAGTTAAAATACTTCGGGACCCTACTAATTTTTATTTTTCTTGTAATTTATGTGTATGTTTTCGTGTTAATTTTTTCAGCTAGTCTTATTCATAGATTTTTCTCTACATGACTTTTTCTATCTTTTTCAAAGTTCATACCTTTGTGCCTAAACTGTAAAGACTTTATTTTTCTCATAGGGTTTAAAAATCTATTTCAAATCTTATTATTATTCCATTGATATGTATTAAAAATAATATGACCTTCCTATAAAAAAACAAAATAAAACAAAAACCTAGATAGCATATTTGAATTTTGTTATACAGTTGCCATGGACTTAAGGTTCGTATTGTTAAAAGCTGTAGTTAATTTGTTCACTTATTTCCACTGGGCAGTGAATGTAAGAAGGTAGAGAAATCTGCACACAGTGGAATATCCCCAACAATTTAAGAGTCTATTTCAAACACTTGTACATTTTGCTAAGTATGCCACAGGGATCATGCTTATGTGCATATTAAATCTTTACGTGTTTCAGAGTCTGTGAAAGAGAGTAAGAATACCTGTTATCTCTATTTCCAAGTGACTTTTTCAACTAAAGCTTGAAAAACAAAAATATACAGCTCCTTTTGTGGAAACTTTGTCATTCTATTAAATAATGTTATAATCATGGATGCTGAGAAATTATCTGGGTGAAAAACAATTAGACTGTCGCTGCTCTGTGATAGTAAGAGGGATAGTCATGAATGAAAGGATTTATATCTTACTCCTTTCATGCTAGTTAATTTCTAGTATTGGCTTCTTTAAAAGAAGACTGTGAGGTGGAAGGTGTGAGAGGGGAGCATATTTTGCCTGTTTTTTTTTGTTTTGTTTTTTTTTGCCAGTAGTAGACACATTTGGATGTTCAACCATCAAAATGCATAATGTGGTTCAGAGTAGGATCCTTAGTCATTTGTTAAATTGATATTCCAGCATATCTGTGACAAATCTTTCACTTCATTTATTTTTTCCCCTTTGGAGAGGAAGTATAGCTGCTGTAAGAGTGGGCATCACATAATTATCAAGATTTTGTTAAAGGAATATATCAGCAGAATGTTTTAAGAAGATAGATCCTTAGGAACACATTCACACATATAGTTAGTAATTGCAGGCTTAAATTGAGAATACACAGTCTTTTCATGTTATGATCCCACCTTTTATATTGGAAACATTTCAGGAAAATCTAAGCTGAGCTTGCCTTTGTGTCTTTATCTTCAGCGCTGAATGGAAGCACCATATGGCACATGGTTCTTATTTGATTGTCCTATAGCCTACCATCCCTGAGGAGTCACCCCACTCCCACCTCCTACCGCAGGCGGCATTAAGAAGTATAGATTATGCTGTGGAACAACTGGAGCGCAGACCTTTTGATTTCTTCATGCATGTTGCCAGCTTTAGGGAATTACAGATGGGTCCCCAGGCATGTACAGTTTCACTCAGTGTTGTGAGTCCACATAGAAGCATCTTAATGGCTTCAGAGCTGTGCCTTCCAGACCTGCATTTCAGTTATTTTGCCATTGTAATTATAACCAAGACCTTTTTAGACAATCATTTAAATTATTTTGTCATTTTCATTTCATCGGATAATAGCTTTGTAATATAATTATCACACTAAGTCACAGCAATGGGATCAAAATGCAGGAAGGAAAGATGCATGACCCATGTTTGGTGGCATTGGGAGGACATGATTTGCAAAATAATTTCTCATTTGTTACTAAGCATTGTGTCATTTTCCTCAAGGCCGGCCAGGAACAAAGAATAAAAACCGATTTATGCTTTCATTATGTGGGAGATGGGTCTCTTTGTATTGGCTGGAAGATTAACTTAAAGGTAGCCAAGGTCATATCGTGAATGAACGCGTATGTGTGTTTAGTCTGTTTGCCTCTGAGATGGTTACTTGTGCTGGGAAAAGGGTAAATATTCAATTGTCCAATGAGCCGCTCTTTAGGGGAATAAGTGCAGTCACTTTCAGATAATCCATTCTTTATTGCTAAAGTCGATTTATTGAATATTTATTATGTGCAAAGCCCAGGGTTACCACAATAGGGAAGGGGAAAAAAGACAAGGTTTCCGTATCTAAGGAAGTTATGGTTAAGTATGAAGAAATCACACATGAGTATGGATTACTAGTACAAGGAAGCAAGTGTCCATAACTGTACAAAAGAAAAAAAAAGTGTCAATAAGGAAACTTCAGGCAGGAGACCTTGAAGGGGAAGGACCTGACTGAGGCAGTAGAGAGAAGGCATGGGTTGGAGAGCTGCTCCAGGGGCATAGTCTGTGAGGATTAGGCAGCCAATGAGTTTGGAAAGGAGAGGAGGTGCGGGTTAATGAACGGAAGGCAGTTCATCCATGTAGGTCATACAGAGTAGAGGTTTAGTAGGAGGGAGAAAGATGGAAGGTTTTGTTTTAGGCTTTCCACTTTGAGATCTGTGGGGACATTTGCAGAGGGATGCCCATTGGACTACTTCCCATTTGGGCTGAAGCATCCAATGGTTGGGAGCCATCTCATTTACAATCAACCTGCCAATGGCCTTAGCCAGGGAGATGGTGGTTTCCTGCTGAGCACTAGTTAGGGACTGGTGGTGAGGAAAATCTCATTGAGGAGAATGGTCTGGCATTTAAGAAGTTACTGACTGCTGGAACTGACTCGTCAGATGAACACAATGATCAATGGTCATACCTAGGAAGTTTTTTGTTGTTGTTGTTTTTGTTTTGCTTTTTTATCCTCACCAGAGTGTGTTTTTATTGATTTTTAGAGAAAGAGGAAAGGGATAAGAGAGAGAGAGAGAGAGAGAGAGAGAGAGAGAGAGAGAGAGAGAGAGAGAGAGAGAGGCATCAATGTGAAAGAAAATCATCAATTGGTTGCCTCCCATACGTGCCCAATCAGGGATTGACTCGCAACGTAGGTATGTTTCCTGAGTGGGAATGGAACGTTAAAACTTCTGGTGTATTGGACAATGCTCCAACCAATGGAGCCACCCATCCAGAGAAAGGCTAGGAAGTTTTTAAAAGAAGGAGTCTGTGTATTGAGTGAAGTGACAGTATGCCTCTGACTCTGCATACTCTCCCCATCTTTCATTAACATGGCAGGACTTTCTCAGGCACCACACATTCTCCTGGTTGCTGTAACCTTACAGTGCTGTGCCTCACAGTGAGAACTCGGTGAGACCATATCTTAGCTCCTGTCCAAGAGTTGTTTGGGTTGGGTGGAGGGTAGGTTGAGATCTAAGGCAGGAAGGATGCTATAACCATTTTAGCCTCAAGCTATGATCAGGCTCAGTCCCACCCCAGCTCTCACCTATCAGAGCAGAATAAGCACCTCACTGGCTGCTCTTCCCTTGTGTTCGCCCTTCAGAGGGGCTGGTTTCTCACTCAGTGGCTTGTTGAGTGAGACCCACCCAGTGAAGCAGGGAACCTAATCACTATGGGTTCAAATGCTTTCTCACTGGGGGTTACAAAGCTTTAGTAATATTTAGAACCTCAAACATTATCGTGGCCAACTGTTCTCTGAATTATAAGACCCTAAAAGTGTACACTGCAGATTTCAGGGTCAGCAGCTCCGTACTCCGCCTGATCCCCTGGTCCTTGACCGCCTGCCTCGTTATTTCAGAGGGAGGTTTGGTCTCTGGTGGGTGTGCCCTGTGGCTCTGTTTAACCTTCTGGCTATCACAGTGATCCTAATTGGAATTAGAAAGTTATTGGCTTCTGGAGAATGTCCTGTCCACCAACACTAGCAAAATCTTATTTGGATTCATTATTGTCAAATTGGAGAAGATGACTCAGTAATTCACCGCCGTTATATTCCTGGGCCTTGCTTCCTCTGGTCCCCCACAATCTCCTGAGAGAAAAGGCATGACAGTGGAGTTGAGCCAAGTAGACTAAGATGTCTCCATCCAAAGAGTCTGAGATTCATTTTCATAGGACAGGGGTGACCAGAACTCCCTGCCACATTTCTGAAACGTGCCAATAAGCAGCTTTTTGGGACTATGAGAATGTGATAGTAAATGCCTTTCTGTCCCCCCGAGGGTCACTGGAAGATTCCCCATAATACAGCTCTGAAACTGAAGGCTGCTTCTCGCTGGCTGAATCTCCGTATCCCTCTGTGCTACCCTCCTGCGTGAGAATTCTGACCCACTGTTAGTACCGGCCTTGTGTGTCCTAAGTCAGTCTGGGGACCCCTTGAAGTCATGAGAACTGGGTGATTTGTTAATTTTGGACTTTGGTTTAAGTAAGGCAATCTAAATTATTAAGCATCTGATAACTGGATCAAGCCAAATACAAATAATACAGACTTGTAGGTTTGAATTCCACACATCAAGATGCAGTTGCATCCTTC